CAACAATATCTCCAGGTGTGAAATCCGTGGATGTGTTGATCGCTTCAACATCGTTCGCATTGGCCTCGATCTCCAAGCTAGTGTCGATGTCACAGTCAAAGGTCACATCATTGGTATTAGAGTCAGATTGGTGGATATGCCGTCGTGTTTGCATGAGAGAAGGGATTTGAAGGGCGAGGATAAAGTGGCCGGACATCAGATGGATTGTGTGTTCAAAACATCTAGGGAATTTCCTTGTCAGAAGACGATGTGAACGATAGAAAAGAATACACACCGGCCTCACATTTCCTTTGCTTTGAGTCGCTCCCAAGTGGGATCAAATGTACCACAGAGATAGCGTATCGCACAGTCATTGACTGTAACATTATCGCACACAAACCAACCAAGCTATAGATAACTTAGACAGATGTGGAAATGAAAATAGAGAGTATCTTACACGATCTTGGAAAGAAAACCTCTCAACAACCTTAACTAGCTCCTTACCCACCGCTTCACCAGTATGACGTCCATGCATCCGGTCAAAGGCCAGGAGTTCACTTCTCAGTTTCCACGAGGTCGGGTCTTCCGGTGGGGAGTCGATCCAATGTATAGTAAAGGAATTGTATGGCTGGCGACGATGCGTAGTCCACCCATCAAATGTGCAAGATATTCGAGACGTAATGTCCTAGCCACTGGTGTCAGTTCACATCCATAATGTGTAGAAGGAACTGATGCACCTTTACAATAGAACTATCTATTCCATCCAATACGTCAACCTTCTTCATCACAAGGTCGCTCATGTACGTCTTCTTGGGTATTTCAGTCTCCTTCATCTTTGGGCATAGGTAAATAAGAAGACGACGGAAAGAGGGTCGGTCAGCCAATAGGAAGGGCTATGGCTCTTGTCAGTACTAGTAGGGAGGTAAGGATAGTCACATATGCACCAGGTCAGCATCGGCAAAGAATTCCATAATATACTCCCCCAATCCCTCTTTGGTCACTGGTGGTGGTGGCAATGCCTTCACGACGGAAAAATCTTTGATTCCGGTTTGCTGCCTGATAGATTACTTCAACAAAAAATCTCTTCGCAGGACAGAAAAACTGCTTACGAGTCAGAGGTTCCTTTCCAGCCTTGGGGCGCTGAAGCTTTAGGCTTGACCTGAAAACGAGTACATAGATCTAGGTACTCTTGGTAGTGTTTTCTAAATTAGAGAATAAGAATACGACACACAAGAACTAAAATGAACATACCGTGTGATGTGTGACCGTTGCACTGTCACATTCCCAGTCATGAAGGACTCGCTCTTCGTTCGTCCTTTTTTTCTGTGCCCAGCTTGTCAATTAGCCTGTGCTGGGTAAAATAAAGGGACGTACAGGCATAGCTGGCAGTACTGACCAGCGGTAGCCTTCTCCTTGATAACCCGAGTGTCCTTCTTGAAGACAAGTCAGATGTCTTGGGTCTCAGAGGATTTTTTCCGTTTCCCCTGAGAACCGGGTAAGTCGGAAGCAGTATAATGGTGTAATTTCTGAAATACCTTCCCACCACTTGCATCCCAGTAGCGCCTTTCACCTTCGTCCATCTCTGACTGTTCTCCTTCTGACTCATTAGTCCCTCCATGGTCTTTTGGGTTCGTTTCTGCTGGTTTTTTTGCGGGGCCGGGGAGTGAGTTGGCTTCATTTGCGAGATCAACGTCGACAGGCCCAGACTCCTGGGATCAATGTGAGAAGTCAGTTTTAATCTAACCATATTTATGGACGTACACGGCGCCGCTTTGCGTTTCTATGCTCGATTTGAAGCTCGTCTTCGTCCAAGTTCAAGTTGTCAGAGTCTGGAGTCGCAGCAATAAGTATTATTTAAAAGCTAACGCTTGTCAAGGACAATAAAAACTGACGTTCAGCGCTAGGTGAATGAGCCCACTCAATGTCCCTTGCTTCTTTCAGCATTCCGTTTTGATCAACAGCATCTCCATTGGGTTTAGATGGATCCTTGGTGACCGGAACGTCATCTACTCAGAGTATGAGGTACGTGTCATTCAGGATCGATGATCATACCATTCTGATTGGTGCCACGGATAATTGTGCGCTCGATATTGTTCTCATCAATGAGTTTGCTGGAAGGCCCTCGTTTTCGTGGTCCGGCGATTATTTGATTGGGATCAACTTCTTGACGAGGCGCCATGATCTTGGTCAACTATAAGATATTATCGATGCAATAAGAATTGAGCGGATTGGTCGTATAGTGGCTGAAAAGTTTATTCAGATTAAATGTATAGCTACCTTGAAATTATACTTTGCTTACCCATTTGGCAATCATTTGCATACAGGTTCACTGGGTTCAGATGAGGTTCGAACCTTGATAAGAGGTTCGCCATTAACAGAACCTGAACCTGCACCTTTTGGTGCAGGTTCGGTGCAGAATAGCCACTGAACCTGAACCCCAGGTGCGGTACAGGTTCGGACCGGGTTCATAAGGTTCATGGACCAGACCGTGGAAACACTAGGCAACACTAGAGGCTTGTTGTGATAGTGGTCTACATATCACACAGGAAAAGACACGGGGGTTGATGAAAGACAAATTCAAAACCTAAGGCAAGGCTAAGGATGCATTTCGTTCTGGAGAGGGATATACGTACCAAGGAATGCACAAGGATCTGCTCTTATTTCTGTCCTCAATGTAAACTGTTGGAAAACGGGGTATCAGTTTGTTCCCAGTGTCACATGCACAGTAGCAAGCCAATAGTATTGCGCTTGGCTGAGCTCTGCAAATGCATGAGGATCTATGCTAAAGTACCTACTTTAATACTAAATGTACTTTTACTAGAACTTTCCACGCTTTTCCTAAGACTTCTACCTTAATAAGCAACTTTGGCATGATGCCGGATTGCCAAATCCCAACATAAACCTGATGTGTATATACGGTGACTGACAGACTATACAGCCTTGGACCATTGTAAGACTTAACGGAAGAACGGGTTGCCGTGGAAAGAACATGTTAGCGCGAAGAAAGGAGATCATATATATATGTAAATACCAGTCTTCCACTGAAGATGGAATCAGGAAGTTGAAATGAGAAAGTGTGCCTCGTCTAAATATCGTGAGGTGTGTCCTGGTCCAGCTTCATTGAATCGGAACATAACTACTCTGCGGCATCAGAACGCTACAGCGAGGAACGAAAATGATGCAACAAGCTCAAAGCTTAATATTACTCCATGGACTATACATGCCCGACACGAATTGCGAGCTCAATTGGTAGATTTTACCAGGTAACGACGCTAAGCCTCCATACATTTGCCATTGTCTGATCTCTGAGCCGCCGATTTTGGGACCAAGATTCTTCAGGTATATTGAACACTGGTGAAGCGAAATAAGTCGGTGACGTGGGGACCGCTACCGTCGTTTTTCTGATATTTGGGCAGACGATTTTGGGACGAAGACTCGTGACGTTCGTTGGAATATTTTCCGGCAGTGGGTAATGAGGAAGCGAGATGGACTAGAGAAGCGGAGACCGCCTTAAAGGTTACGAGAAGATCCTTGACTGAGGTGTGTTGAAGGTACCCCGGACACCGCATCCTCACGGACCCACTACCCGCTGGGATTGTTTGGCACCAGAGGAGCAAACAAAGCGTGCTTCTTTCCTTTTCGCCCTCATGCTACTGTGACATCTGCGCTCTCTCGAAGACTACCGACTGGACGAACTGCAGAATCCAGTTTGAAGACAGCAATGAGGGCTAATCTACCACACCCAAGTTCCTGGGCTCCACCCTTCTACTGGCTTTCCTTGAACACGAATACGATGACCCTCCTGGGCTGGGTACGTGTCGAATTTTCGCCGAGATGATGTATTGCTTTCCGGCCAGCACGGGACATGCAAGGTGGACGACGAGCAGTGCAGAGACACCAGCGAGGGAAGAATTGCAGTGTGTTCCTGCTCCTGAATAGACGAAGATCTCCATCATGCGCAAGACCCACCTCTTTCCACGCGTTAAGCGTTGTACTCGCCTGGTCCTCACTGCCGCTGCCTGCCACCCTCTTCACACCCACCGTCTCATTGCTTTGCCAGAAGTAGGATGGCCATTCATGTGGTGACATGTCGCTTGAATTGTGCTGTAACGGTGGACGTGTTGGCGTTATCTAGACGGTAGACGAAGGATGGGAGGGAAGAGGTACGTGCTCGTTTGTTGAGTCATTGTTTTAGGCCACTTATACTATTCTTGTAGGATGTCAAGCGTCCGTGTCGAGTTCAATCCGGCACAATTCGATCTGGCGTCCCTTCAAGTAAGTTTTGCTCGTATGATACACCTTTGTTATTCTGATGACTACGTGTAGTCCTCGCTTTGCAATCCTGTCACGAATCGATGACCATGACACAGCCGGGCACCTTTCTCCACCCCCGTTTATCAGGTGTTCATCTCTCCTATGCAAGGGGACTTCGATGGTGAGGTTCTTGATGTTTTTATGTTATATGCTAGTGCCGAATCGCTGACACATCCCTAGACCACTGTCAAACACTATGAAAGCACACTGCTATCCTCGTTCAAGCATTAATTGTCGCTCGTTTTACAATCGTACGTTCCCAGGATTCTCTAAGGAACTAGCTAATCCTTTCTAATATAGAAGGTCTAGCTTCTAAGCTACCGAAATAACCCCCGACACCGCTAATGTCCATAACAACTCCCTTTCCTAACCCGTTCGCCCAGCTTTTTGGACAAAGCAGGGATGGCAGACGTAAGCCTCGACGTAGTCAGCCTCGCTCAATGGTGGCTAGACGACTTCGTCATCAGAAATCACCCGGAAACATCACTCTTTGCATGCGCCGACCCAACCTCTCCTGCCAGTCCTCTCCCGTCAGTTCTCCTGTGGAACTATACCCCCACATCATTTAAAAACCAGACAGCACTTGTTCCCATGGGAATGTGACCCTGTTGCCGGTACCCCGACGCTGTGGTCCACGATGAGCACGGGCTGTTCGCATTTCGGGTTTGCATCAGAGTATATTCGAGAGAATAGATGTGTCTTGCACGTTACGTGTCATCGCTGTGGCTCTGCCGCCCGACATTCAAAGACTGTATTCCGACAAACCTCCTGCTCGAGAAGGTTGATTTGGGTGTCTTCTCAGCTTTGCTTTCTTCTTTCCGCTCTTCGGGTGCCTTCGCCTACATATCCTGAATATTGATCAACTCTACAATGTACTTTTTAGCCTGTGACACTCCCTCCATCACCTCGAATATGCGATAATACATTCCATACAGCTTATCACCTCCCTCGAAGATGCCAATCAGCTCACCCGCTTCGGGTTGAACGTCAGGATTTGTGCGTAAAAATCTAACCAGTTCAGACGTACAAGCAAACTTCTGGATCACTGTCTTCGGACAGAAGTACCGGGGCGCCTGCGTGCGTATCTCATGTTCCATTATCATCCCGGGTACGGACGCAGATATCCTGAACAATCGTCATATACATGACCTTAATACTGGTGTACTCTACAAAGTACCTTTTAGCGTACTCCACTCCCTCCGCCACCTCGAATGGGCGGTCAACGACTCTACGCAGCGTATCACCCTCCTCTCCAACGCCGATCAGTGTACCACTTTGGCTGTCGGGGGTTTGTCCAACATAACATACCCAGTTCACAGTCAGATAGCTCCTTGAGTGCGCACAGTATCCCCTCCCTCATGTACATATCTTTTCCGTTTTTCGCTCCCCCACTCTCGGTCTCACACGAATGTTACGTTAAGATTCTGAACAACCAGCACAGTCTGCATTTGTGGATGCATTCGCTCTCTCACCAGGGACCTGCAGCGCGCTATCAATTGCTTAAATCCCATCGTCAGAAGGGGGAGCTCGCTCAATTTGAGTCTTGACAGATCACCCACTTCGCCTGGCCGTAAGCAACGAGAGCATGTACGATGCGCTCGATTAAGACCTTCCTTCCCTATCTCGAGGTCCTGAAGTAGAGATGGTCAAAACGAGGAAAGGGTTGAGGAACTGAGATGTGAGGTGGTACTGGGCGAAAGACAGATCTGCTGCGGAAAGAACACGTTAGCTAGAAGAGAGAATGAATAGATTTAAATACCAGTCTTTCACTGAACACGGAATGAGGAAGACTTATCCTGGCCCAGTGCTTCATCGAATAGGACTTCTCCAGCATCGGAACGCTACAAATAATGACGCACAACTGTCAAAGTTTAATGTTGCTCCATGGGCTATACATCCCCTACGCAAATCGCGAGCTCGATTGGTACGGATCACCAGGTGATGATACTGCGCTTGCATTCATTTGCATCATCTGATAACTGAGCTGCCGATTTTGCGACGAAGTCGCGTCAGTGAATTGGGGACCACTATCGTCGTTCTTCCCATAGTTGGGCGGCTGCTTTCGGGACGAGGTCTCGTGTCAGATTCATGGTGTAGAGCGTCGACTAAAAAAATTTATGGGTGGAGCTTTGAGGAAGCGAGATGCACCAGTAAAGTGGGAACGCAATCACGGTTACGAGAAAGCCCTTGATCGAAGCTGTTGAAAGTACCCCGGACACCACGTGCGCACGGGCCCGCTACGCGCCAGGATTGTTTGGCACCCAAAGAAGCAAACAAAACGCACTTCTTCTTTCCTTGTTTCCTCCATGCAACTGTGACATCCGCGCCTTCTCGAAGAGACTGTTTTATGAACTGGACAATCCGCAGTATCCGGCTTTGAACACGGGCAATGAGGCTAAACTGCCATAAACAAGTTCCTTTCGACTGGTTTTCCCAGAATACGAATACAGGGTCCTCCAGGTCACCCTGTGCTGCCTTGGAGCTGGAATTCTCGCTGAGATGCCCGCATGGAGCATACTAGGAGAACGACGAGGTCAGGGTAGAAGTGCAGTGCATTAAGAAGGTTCCCGTGTCTGACAGGACGAAGGTCTGCTGACCACATGGAAGACTAGGGATGCTCATGGTCCTCGCTGCTACTGCCGACGCACTCTCCCCACCTCCACGATCTCATCATTTTTATGAACGTACGGAGGCCTTTCGTGTTCTGCATCTTGACTAGCTCGAGTTGTGCTGTAGGAATGGACGTGTCTCCGGCATCTAGACGGTAAACGAAGGACATGCAGGTTGGATATTCGAGGCGTATACGTACTCGATGAACTGTGGAGCGTGTGCTTACGGGATAAAAGGTACGTGTTCGTTTGTCGGGTCATTCACCTTACGTTGCTCATGCTATTCTTGCAGGATGTCATGCGTCCCCGTCGAGTTGAAACTGACGGAATTCGATCTGGCGTCACTCGCAGTAAGTTTTATTCCCTCGAGCACCTTCATCGCTTTGACGACTACATGTAGTCAGGTCACGAATCGAGGACCAAGAACAAGGGGTCGACAGCTGGGCGCCTTTCTTCATCCCTGTTAACGTTCATAGGCCGATCTTCTCTCCTATGCAAGGGGTCCTAGACTGTATGCCAATCGTACTTCGCCAGGAATCTGCAACGTGCTAGCTAACTCTTTCTCAGGTATTTATGATGACATTGAAATAGCCTCCTACACCACTAAAGTCCATATCACCCCCCTTTCCTAACGTGTTCGCCCGCCCAGCTCTTTCAGCAAAATCACTAAGGCTCAGCGCTCAGCGCTCAACATTGGCTGCTTTCCCCAATGCCGGTTAGACAACCCCATCATTAGAAATCGCCCGCGTACACACCCAAGACGACGCTTCCAGGATTACTCTCGTAAAAATCACTCTTTTCACGCATCGACCCATCTTCTTCTGCAGGTTGTTCTGTGGAAATATGCCCCACGTTGCTCAAAAATCAGACAGTGCTCGTTCTCATGGAGGGTGCAATAGACTACACATTGTTCTCAACCAGACAACACTCATTCCCATGGGTGTGTGCGCGTCATGGTGTGACCTTGTTGCACATAAGTACGCCGATGCTGTTGTGTACAATGCGCATGGGCTGTTCGTATGTTGGGTTTGCATCGGCGTAAATCTGAGAGTCTAGATGTGTCTAGCACGTTACGCGTCATTCCCTCTGGCTCTGCTGCCCCGCCATTCAAGGACTGCATTCCAATGAACCTTGCGCTCGAGAAGCTCCATATGGGCGACTTCTCAGCTCTGCTTGCTTCTCTCTTGTCTTCGAGTCGACAATCAGTGACTCCACGCAGTGTATTACTCTCCTCGACGATATTGACTGGTGGGGCTATGTCTGTAACGACCCACCCGCTTCAGGTATAACAGCCATGATCCTTTCTCTTCACCCAAGTACTCGAACCCTCACGCCTCTCTTGTGCTTCACTGCCTCACTCTCAGTCTCACACCCCGTCACAACGGCAAGGGATGTTCATATCCTGAACAATGGTTATTGCCTCCGCATGTATGAACGCCTTATCTTCAACGACTACGTCATTGTTCGCTCTCTCGCCAGAACTCCTCTCATGCCCCATCAACCAATTGGATCCCGTCGTCAGAAAGGCGACTGTGGACGGCATGCTCAATTTGAGGTCATTCGATTGCGCTGGATGAGAAGAGGTACATCATCCATGTCGTTCTCATTCTCGAACCATTCCATTCTTCGCTGCAGCCACTGCATTCTACGACATCCTCTTTAAACCGAGGACCGCTCCTTCACCTAATTGAGAGTCTGCCGTTATCTTCTTTGAGAACTCCCAGTTTCATTTTCTCTCGCTGACTACTCTTGACAGTACTGTTCATTTCTGGGGTTACATCAGGTGTCGCTTGTAAGCATGCTGCTTACCACATCGACATTACTCACTAGATCTCTGGTCATAGATCCTTCGATCGTACTATATTTCACGTCATGTACTTACATATTTAGCGCTAGTTCGGGATACGCCCTCACTTACCTTCCAACCACCACCATCCCCTCCTTCGTAGTCGACTACATCCCGTTTTCTCCTTCCTCTTGCTTTCAATATACGCCGTTCCTCGTTAGTCTTGTCCAATTCTCTCAGTGGTCTCGCTCTTCCATAGAGCGAGGTTACACTTTTTTTTTAACGAACGAACGAACGTCAAATCTCGCCAGCCTGTATCTGGGACGAAGGTCTTTAGACCAATGTCTTGCCCACCTTTTGCCAGCACGCATCCCCGAAAACGCCAGACGACGCCTGCACCCACGCCGTTGCCAGGTCGAGTGAAATTCGCTCGACAGTCTGTTTTTTGCTGACGTATCTATATCTTGCGGTATAGGTCGTGTCGTACCCAACCTCAGATCATGTTCTCGTAGACCTCAATCTCCCCGCCAGTCTTCTGTTGACATACAAGACAGTATTGCTGAAGAACTCTTCACAACTCCACACGCCAGCCCCATCGCCAGCATTGTCAATCCTCCTCTCCCACCAATATCCACCCTTCCATCCTCCTCCACCTTGACCAGTTTTCCTTCGTCAGTCTCGCTAGACCATCTGAAGACGCCTCCAGCACCCCAGTCTCCAGCTACGCAGAAACCAAACACTCCAGATATACCTGAACGATCACCAGCCGCACCACTACTCTTCGAGCCCCGAACGCCCCACACCTGTCCCCAGTTCAAAGATGTCCACTATAGATCAAGCAGCACGCGTAATAACCCATGGCGGTGGACGAGCACCTCCCACGCTAACACGGGGTCACTTGCGCGATCCGGAGACGCTGAGCCAGTATGCCAATGTAGGCCAAAATTATATTCGACGCCAACTCCAGAAAGGACATGACCTACCGGACATCCTAGCGAACCTGGTAGAAGGACTCGCGGATAACCTGCCAGCTGTCACTTGGTTTAAGCAACATGAAGCTCGCCTGGTGAAGCTGACTTTCAAGCAGTTCATGGCTGAATTTCGTGAACGCTTTCTTCCGGCGACCTGGATGAAGGACCTTGCTAACGAGATCTGGCAGGAGTCCATGCCGGAAGGTAGCAACTTTATCGACTGGATTGAACACCTTCGAGGACGAAACGGCCTCCTGGTGGAATATCCGGAATTCATCGATGCCGCCGCACTCCTTGCAAACTTACGCGGCCGAATCTCCAAGCCACTACAGGATGCCATTCGGAACATCAAGGAGATCCACGAATGCACCAGTCTGGATATGTGGACGAAACTCGTTACGGTACAGGACGATGAACTACACCGGAAGCGCAAAGAAATCGCAGATGTAGTAGAGACGCTGGAGTCTGCCAAACGCCAACATCTCGAAGCAGCAGCAGCAGTGCAGCCGGCCACCACCACGACGATGACCGCATCTACGTCCTCTGGTTTCCGTAGCAACCGCCCTCCCCGTCGTACCAACTCTGCACCTGCTTCTTCGGACACCGCAAGCTCATCGAACTCATCTCTTCCTGGCAACACCTTCACCTATAAGTACCAGGGTAAACTTGGTGACGATGAACGCGCTGTTCTCGCTGCCAATGACGGATGTTTTGCATGCCGCGATATCGACATTCCCAGAGAAGAACAAGGTTTTGGCAAATGCAAGGGACGCGCTCCACCTGCTGCTGGATATGAACGCCGCACGGTGGAGTGGGTTATTCGTCGACGTGCGGACAAGGCCAAAGGACTACCTTTATTCACTATCGCTGTAGTCAATGCTCAAGCTTCTGCCTCAACCTCCACTGCACCTACTGCTACCGCTCCTGCCCCAGCACAAGCTCCTGCTGCGCCTTCGCAGGCACCTGTCGCATCAGTCTAGATCTTGGGGACGACCGCATGGCCCATTGCCGCTGCAGTCCCTGTCAACAGCTCGTCTGTTCTCGAAGCCGACAATGCTGATGGCACCACAGCTGATGCCAACCTTTCTGTAGACTCTGAAGCTGTGAGTAAATCTTCCCTGCCCGTTCCATTTGCTGTTCCACATCTTTTGTGGCATTGTACTGTTGATTCCCGCAATCCGGCTGATATGGAACCCCGTTCTGATGTGACTGCCTTAGTAGATGACGGGGCACATTTAGTGCTTATTCGCCCAGAGATTGTCGACCGCCTGCATTTGAAATGTCGCCCACTACCTGAACCCATAGACATTGGTGTCGCAATATCTGATTCATCCTCGCCTGCCTGCCGCCTCACTGAATGGGTCAAACTAAAACCCCACGATAAATCAAATTTTTGGTCCTCCCATACTGTTCGCGCCATTATTGCACCTGGCCTTTGCACGGACATCATTCTCGGCCTACCTTTTCTCTCTGCCAATCATGTGGTTGTGGATCATCGTAATCGCACTTGCATTTCCCTTCCTTCGGGCTTTGACCTTCTGAATCCTTCAGCCCCAGTATCAGCTACCAGACCTGTGCCCTTGGCAGCATTACGCAAACAAAATACGCTTCATAATCGTGTAGATTCCCGTGAACTTCCTTTCTTTTCCTTGCCCTCTGATGAAACTGCCTTCGCTGTACAAACCGATCACGCTTATAATAATCTTTGTAACTCTGATGTAATAGCTGCACTACATACCAATATTGAATGCCTTGCCTTCCTTGACCACCTGAAGAAGCTCAATGATGAAATAAAAGAAACTTATGCAGATGTTTTTGCGCCTATCCCCCATGTGGATACATTATCTACGGAGATGACATGCAAAATTAAATTGAAGAATGCGGAGAAAGTAATCACGTCACGTTCATACTCCTGCCCACGTAAGTTCCATGAAGCATGGCAGACACTTATCCAGAAGAACATCGATGCAGGTCGTATTCGCCCATCTTCCTCGCAATATTCCTCACCGGCCTTTTTGATCCCAAAATCTGACAAGACTGTGCTCCCTCGATGGGTTAATGATTTCCGCCAGTTAAATGCAAACATGGTGTCTGATAAATACCCCTTGCCTCGGATTGATGACATTCTTGCTGATGCTGGCCACGGTAAAATCTGGAGCAAATTAGACATGACAGACAGTTTTTTTCCACACTCGTATGCACCCTGATAGCATCCCGTACACTGCAGTGCAGACGCCTTTCGGATTATATGAATGGCTGGTGATGCCTCAAGGCATGAAGAATGTGCCGGCAATACATCAGCGCAGGGTTAACCACGCGCTTCACCATCTACTCGGGAAGATCTGCCATATCTACCTTGACGACATCATAATCTGGTCTAATTCCGTTGAAGAACACATGCTCCATGTACACC